TAAAACTCAAGGCAGTGGAAGCGGAAGTTACAGCCGTATTACGGCACATATATGTTTTTGTTCTGCTAGCTGGCTCTTCGATTGATGATTTGCGCAGACTGGTACGAGGTTGTTGATGATTTGCTGCTCATCTGGGTTGGAATGGTTAGTATAGTATATACGATTGAGTCGTCATAAGAAGGAAAGATCCAGGAGAAGGCGAGGACTGACCATAACTACGCTTCCATCCTTGTACGAATTTCGGACTAACCAGCTCTTGGTTCATTCTCTTGCATTAAAGCATCGTCGCTCTCTTCCGTAGTCAACGGCGGAACTCCGTCTTTCCAACGATGAAAGACATTGATCAGGCTAAAAGGTTTTCCCAGGTCAGAAAAGGAACCCGATTCAGACTTGCAAGATGTGCAAGGGAAACGAACCTGGGATTGCCGACGCCTACACACCATTGGCCGTCGCGGCTCCAAGCAAACTTGTAAAAGGGAAAGGCCTGGAATTTGGGAATGTCAATGCACTTGTGCGCCTTTATGGGCTGGAAGGGATCGCCTAGGCCGCGGTCGCGATGGAGTGGCTTCCTCTTGTTACGCTTCACTTTTGTGGCGGTGCCAGAGCCGGTACTCATTGCAGACGAGGCAGTAGAGGTGGACGTTTCGCGGATGTGGCGAGGTAAGCTCAAGGACAACGCGTTGGTGTTGTCGGCTTGGGCTGCCTCTTCCCCTAGATGCATTTGTTCAAGACGGTGCAGATCCCAGAAAAAGGCCCTGCTCTTCTCGTTGCCGGCCACGAGCATGGGATGGCGGCCTTGCTCATGGAAAAGCGAGAAGCGAAGGTAGAAGATGCTGCAATGGGGGAGTTCAAATTTGAGCAATCGTTGGAAACGTCCACCCCATGCTGATCGCGTGCTCGAGGTCGAGTTTGCTGGTGCTGTTACCGGCGTTTTACTATTCACGGCCGTCGAAGTCGGTATTGGGGGAGGGGGAGTCTCGAGGCGGTCAGAGCTGAAGTTGTCGATTCGCCAGAGAAGGATGTGGTCCTCTCTTGCGGCATGACTCAGGATCAAATCATTGTACCATTGTACGCTAGTATGGTAAGCATTGAGTTTTCGTCTCATGGGCACACAATGTAGTACCGGTCTATGAAATCCGTGTGGACTTCGGTAGTGGAGAAGTGGGGATAATGGATCGTTGCAGGTTTGTCGGTTCCCGCATGTTTTGTGACACTCTCTGGCACAGTCCACTGGGTTCGACTAACGGTGAGCTGATGGATTCGGTCTTGCACGGTTTACTTTACTTGGACTTACCAAGTTGACTCTGGTGTCCATACCTGCCGATAACAAGTAGCGGCCTTGGCGGTGATAGGCCTAGGTAACTCAGTATGGGGATTGTCGAGAATCTAGCACCAACATGTGACTGACCAGTGTCAAGACCTGGTCTTTGTGACCCTGGCCGTAACAGATTGCTGCAAGCGGCTGTTTCTTGTGGGCAGGGAGCAAACTCCATATGCGAATGCTGTAATCGGCACTTGCTGAAGCCAATAGGGCGGGGTCAAGGGGCGACACAGCAAGATCATTGATACTCTAGCAGAATGAGTGACGACTCGTATGGAGATGGCGGGGACTGGAGGACACTCATACATCACCATGGCCTATCAGCGTCTATTTCTCAATCAGCATCCGTACTCGGCGCATCCTCATCAGCTGGGCAGCGGTACCTGCACGAGCTCGCCGGACCTGACATTGAGAATTCTTATCTGCGATATATCGCCAGTGACACAGACCAGAGGGTCACCATTCTCAGCTCGTGACCAGACAAGACTGTTGTAGTTGTAGGGCTGAGTGGAGGCCTAGGTGGGTGGATGAGTGAGTGAGTAGGCTCTGTGGTTCCCTTGCTCAGGCATCCAGCTTACCTGGGCTGCATCATGCTCAAACCAGCGGAGGACCTCGATGGTGCTATCCTTTTCCAAAACGCAGCGACAGATGAGTGTCTTTGCCAATTAGCGATGGGGCGGGGGCCAGAAGGCAGACAGGAGGTGACACGGACATAGTGGTCTCCACAAACGGCGAAGACAGGGTCTACGCCAGGCAAGGTGTAAGGATAGAAGTCGACGTCGTAGCACGGGGCTGGACGCAGTGAGTAAGTTTAGACGAGAGGTTAGCCGGATGGCTGCTCACCGGCATTGAAGCGCGACTTGGCCTGTCCCTGCAAGACTGATTAATGATGGGGGGTTCCGTGGGGAGATGGTGAGCGAACCCCCAGTCTGACTGTGCCTCTCAGTGAAGGTATCTCGCCATGTTGATTCATGATGAGAGAGAGAGAGAGAGAGAGAGAGAGAGAGAGAGAGAGGTGGTAAGAGAGTAGTACTACCAAGCAGAGTACTAGGGTAGCAAGTAGCAAGAGGACTACTACTACCAAGTAGAGAACGAGTACTGAGTATAGTAGGAGGACTGCAGCAGCCAAAGCGCCCGGCAGCTGGCAGCCGATGGCAGCTAATGCAGGGCAAGCAAGAACCGGTCAGTGGGTTGTTGGAAGTTGGGAAGTGGACACTTGGCAGAAGCAGGCCAGGACGGGACCGGCTGCTCTTAGTGTCCCAGCGAGCCTAACCTACTCTTGTCCCTTGTACTTACACCTCTTCTTCCCTCTATCTATCGTTTTGCCAATGGGAAGCCGGGCCGAGAACGAGATTGGTTTAGTGTGCTTGCAGCTTGGATGTACATGTCGCGTCCATTACACACGGTACCCGTCTACTACAAGACGGTCTCTATACTCTACCCAAGCATGAGGATGAGGATGGGAGGTGGGGAGGTGGTGTGCCCATGGGAGAGTGAGTGGTAGAGTAGCGCGCTGGACTGGCAACTGGGAGGAGGAATTGGGTGAAGGAGTGAGTGAGGAGGAGACGAGAAAGGAGGACGAAGAAGGCTTGGCATTGTGGCGCACTACCTAGCGCGGGCCAGCATCGTCGATTGGGGGCCCCAGGAATTCGCGCTTCAGTGCAACCCCAAGAGGCACGGAGGGAGGAGAGCCATGATGATCTAGCAAGTCTTGACCTGTGTGTGCCAGAGTACTAGTCCAGGCAACTCTCTGGCCTATATCCATCCTTTGCATCATGGCAGCCAGAGACACTTGCATGTACACACTCACACTCACACTCACACTCACACTCACACGCACACTCACTCACACGCACACTCACTCACACGCACACTCACTCACACGCACACTCACTCACACGCACACTCACACTCACTCACACGCACACTCACACTCACACTCGATGAACCACTCACATCACCCTACATGCAATTCCTTCTTCAGCTGAGACATGCATCTGGCCTTTTGCCCTGTAGCTGTCGCCTCTACCCAGCTGCCTACCGCAGGCCACAGGGCCACACAGGCCACACAGCATACGCACGCACACACGCACACACGCACACACGCACACACGCACACACGCACACACGCACACACACACACACACACCACACACACAACATTCCTTGTTGTGCTTCACTGCTGCTCCTGCTCCCCTCCATGAATCCATCACCTCAATGGCCATGATCCTTCCTTCCCACCCCCCCGTCCAAATAATGGCCTGATGTGCCGTCAGCCCCGCCCTGCAACTGCCAGCCCTTGAACTTTTCTTCTTCTTCTTCTTCTTCTTCTTTTCTCCTCCTCCTCCTTGTCGGCGTTCCATGGCCATTGCCAGGATTGGGTCCTGTAGTACACACATATGGGTAAGAGTATTATCGCAAATCAGAGACTTGGAAGTACGGGTAACGGGAGGGTGGGTACGGTAGGTTAAGAAATTCGCCAAACTCGCCAAATTTCTTCTGCCCCCTCGGCGCCACAGCCACACGTCGCATTCGCGTCCCCAGCTCCTCGTCGCTTCTCGTCTGCTGCCTCCCGCCGTCCGCCTGCGCCTGTCGGTCTTTTCTTCGCAAACCTAGTAAAAGTCCGCGTCTGCCTGCAATCCCTTCGTCCCGCCCGCACACACCCCTGCAAGAAGAGAGCAGGCCAGCCAACCCAAAGTAAACCGCCTCCCCCCAAGTCGGAAGCCACCTGCTAGCCTTTTTCCCCACACGCCCACACGCCCATCCGCCCACTTTCGTCCTTTCGTTGTTCTCACGTCTACCTGCCGGTACTCTACTCTACCGACTGTCTTGTATGTCTCCTATACCGTCTGCCCCTTGCTGTTGCCGACAGACAGGGCAGGGCTACTACTGCGACTGTAATAACACCTGCTTAGCAGTCACCGTCAGCCTTCTCCTTCCATTACATCATTCCTGCGCCTGACTCGTGTTCAACTCCCACACCCTCCACAATAACCAACCCACCAACCCACCAACCACCCTTCCCCTGCCCTACCGCTCGCATCTTCACTGTTGCAGGCGCGTGTCACTCACTGTGCTATTCTACTTGTTCCAGACATTGGCACCGCTGCCTCATTCAGCCTGCCCTGTGTTCCCACCCCTCCCCCCTTCCCCCTGGCACCCTGTCTGCACTCTGCCCGACCCTACTTCAACCGCCTTTGGCCCTTTTTTTTTTCAACCTCTCTTCTCGCTCCTCCGCCGCTGCTTCCCTCGGATTATTAGATTCGACAGTTGATTTCGGACGACAGCGGTAGAGGAAGGACCGATCATCCTCGCACCTGCATCTGCCATCATGGATACTACCTTCATCACCATCCATGGTAAGTTAAGCGAGAGTCTGAATTGGCACCAGTGCTTATCACCACGCCATAGATTTGTCCGACGACGCCAATATTCTCTATTCTTCCGACTCGATTGTCGACATTCTAGGCCACACCCCGGACGAGGTCGTCAACCGTTCCGTCTGGCAGTTCTTCCATCCCGATGAATTGCCATTGGCCAAGGTCCAGCACAGGCGAGGTGTCCAGCTCGACAAGGCTGCCGTCTTGTCCTACTGCCGTCTGAGAAATCGCCAGGGCGAGTGGGTCGGCTGTGAATGCTGTTTCTCCGTCGTCTACGATGTGCTCGTCTGCTGCATCAGCATCTACCGTAATGGCATGCAGAGCCAAAGTAAGTCGTCCATCTATCCCAACGCATAGCACTAAAATATAAAAAAAAAACTCCCCACGCCGCTGACGCCAGCCAACCAGAGCGAGCCGTTGAGGCCCCTATAGTACGGAAATTGTTCGCCTCATCCCCCAAGGACCCTCGGTACCATATGCTGTCACATCTCTCCAGCAAGTTTGATATTGGCCCAGAAGAGCAAACCCATGAGCCGCGTGCGGCCCTTTTCCTGAATAGATTCACCCGAACCCTGACCTGCATGTATGCCACCAGTGGCATTGAGCAGATCATCGGCATCTCGGGCGAAGCCATGAAGGGACGTAGCTTCTACTACTGCATTGCTCCCAACTGTCTCGAGGATGCTGTTCGCTGCCTCGAATCCGCCAAGGGCAACGACTCTATTGCTTATATGCGCTTCTTCTTTCGTGATCCCAGGCAGGATGATCCCCCCGAGGCCGTGTCGTCGGAGAGCGAAGAAGATCTCATGAAGCTAATTAAATCGTAATGCGACAGCCTAGGACATCAGGAT